GAAATCATTGAATTTATTAATTTATGGTTTCACTTTACACTCATGTGAAATTTACCTCAAACGAGCGTATGCGTGGAATTCACTTGAAAATGGTTACGTTAATTTCATATGAATTGTTAATTGTGATACACATGAATCTCACGTAAAGCTTTTCACGTTAATTTCACATAAAATTTTAAAAAAATGGATTTTTCATGATTTTAATAAAGTTGAAAATTTAGATGCTATTTAAATAGCTTTATTTTGAAAATTCACGTGAATTTCACATGAACAAAATTAATGTGATTTTCATGTGATTTTCACACGAGATTCATGTGCAACTCGCGGAAAATGAGTTCATGTATAAACTCGTTTACCTGAATTTCACACGAATCTCAATTCCCGTAAAATTTCCCTGTTTAGGTTTCGAGTCTGAATTACCTACATACCTCAAGGAATTTTAATTACTTATTATCAATCGATTTTCCATTTTCCGAAAAATAATTGTCGTAAATATCAAACCCGGCTGTGAGCGTTCTTGATGAAAGTAAATCCAGAATAGCGCTTTAGACGCATATCATTTATAACGTGTTGTTTCCATGTTTTTAAGTGACGTTATCCAACTTTTCTGTAAGACAACACAGCTGTTTTGGTAGATTGATCTCATACTTAACCCATTTCTAAACATGATTTGTAACAAATTGGTTAATATCGTTATTCGTAAACTTCATACATTATAAGGGCATTTGAACTGGTCATAGACGTTTAAAACAGAGCATCTGAAAAGTGAGAAAAATTAAACGAAAAATCAACGTTTTGACCTGTCATTATTTTCACGTGCTGTAAAAATGTATTTTGAAGTGAAGGTACAACCCTAAAGCCGTAATATAATACTTCAATCGACCCGATTCACTTTTTGAATAACGTCTGTAATAGGGAAATAATTTGTTAAACATCTACATTTTTTTTACAATTTCAATTGCGAAATTTTGTGATGCATGAACCGACATTGTTCTGTTTTCTAGTTATAAGCCCACATTAAGCGATGTTTTTAGGGTCATTTGTAGTTATTTTTTCGCGTATTTCTGATGCTTTTTGATTTCTTCATACTGTTACGTATTGTTCTTTAGTCGTGTTTGTTGAGATTGATCATAAAATTGGCAATTAAAGTAGAGTGCGTTTGGTTTTCAGGTGTGTTCAATACGTTTTATATTCTTGTAAAAGGACAACTACAGTAGTTAATTAAAACTGGCTCCTTCAGATGCCAAGAAAAGGTGCTTTGAAGTTGTAGCAACAGATCTGGAAGAAAAAGTCTGCCTAATGTTGTAGCAATGAGACGTGCTGATTTATCTATTTGAATGAATTATGTAATGATACAGAAACTGATTCAAACAAAAGGTATCACAGGTCTTGTTATAAAAGCTACACAAGTTAACATAATTTGGAATAAGTTGTACTTCATCTGAAAAGAAAGCACCAGACAAGAAGCCAAATATATCCGGTTCTTTGTTGGGTGAAAGTAAAGTTGACAATCTCGGTACATCAAAGTTTATGAATTGCAAGAAAATGTCTCATAAAAAGTTAAAACACTCCATACTATTTGGTCTACTGAACTATAAGTCAACCTGACTGCTGCTGCTGTTAGAGCAGGCGACACTGAAATAATATACCGATGAGAGCAAGAGAACTTGCTTAATGATGCAGTTTATCATGCTGCATGTTTCACCATTTACTTTGAATATTGACTAAAATCCACCGATAAATCTACATATAATTTGACGTTCCAAAGGATACTAGTAGTTGTACTATTGACAATGACTTCATACGTGACAAACAATATCTTTGCAATATTATTAATTTTGACAATGTACCAGTTTCCCTTAACAAGTAATATTGGTAAGGCCTACTGGTATTTCTCTTAACTCAAGGCTAAACTGGAGAAGCTCTTGGGAGATGTCTTAGTGTTACTTGTAAACTATGCTTTTTGTATAGAAGTCACCGGACTCCTTTGCAAGGTTCTTATGGTTATAGTTGTACCATATACTATTAAAAACAATTTTAGCATCAATTCCATTAAGGTTAATGGGGGTCACACTTTATAAGCTCATATCTTTGTGAAAAAGTGCTCCTCCCAATTTTTAAAAATGTGTTTGGCGAAGGAAATATTAGTTTCTTTTCATATGTAATCAATTATGCCATCAGATTCACCATTTCGTCAATTTTGTGCGTTGTATGCATTTTTACCTAAACCATGGGCACACAATTGTTAAGATATACAACTGTAAACTTTGACACCTTTCCTCAAAAATTTCAAACAGTATAGTTGTCTGAAACTTGACCAACATAACTGTAGTACTATTAAATACACAAATAAATGAAGATTAAGAAAACACAAACTTAAAAGATAAAACGACATTTTGCTTTAGTTTATTTCCGGTCAGAAGTTGTGTTGCTAACCCTTTTTTGAGTAGTACATGTATATGTTATATAGAAAAAAGTTATTGAATCATTTAAACGCTATGAATGTAAAATCAAACTATGTCTAGGGACCTATATAAGTAAAACTTCACTAATGTTATCACCAACTAGAGCTTACTTACATTTTGACAACAGGTATGAACGGACGTTATGGAAGCATGCATCACATTCCCGCGATAACACTGATAGTCTATGTTTTATCCATTTTATTTTATTCTGATTCAAATGTTTCTTTAAACATTTAATCATATCGGCAAAAAAACCAAAAAAAAACCAAACAAACATGCATTTAATATCTGAAAATAAAGAAAAAAATTGTTTAAAATACACTTACGTCCGATACATTTCTTATGTTAACCACAATTTAATACATTTGCACTGGAATGCTTCAAGCCTGCTTTTTTTTTAAATGTTTAAACCATTAGAATTTAAATGGAATATTTTATGTATGATACTCTTATTTTAACGACAAAATTCACGATTATCATTATGCATACTTTAATTTATTAACTAGTTTGTCATCACCAAATTGTCAACGTGCATTACCTAGATTTGCTAGAAAAAGAAACTATAGTGAATGGAAAAATCTATGAAACAAACAATCTAGGAGAAGGAAAAAAACAGATTTTGTGATAAAGTGTTTTCCATCTATTTAAAGGCAAAATGTTAAACAGAAAATAGGATGACACTTCTGATCTTGCTCCAAAACAAACGTAAGACGGAATAATTACTACTCTCCCCCTCCCCCCCCCCCCTTTTCCCCGGGTGACAAATGGTCATTGCCTTCGTATTACCCAAATTATTTGTTTAAGTCTGCTTTAAACTAGTATTATCATCAGTTAATGCTAGATGCGCGACTGATTTGATCAGATTATATTAAACGTCGTAAATTGGTTTAAAATCATTTATAAATTGTAGACCAACCAGTGATGTCTTTAGCATTTACAGAACACGAGCAAATATGTGAAACACAGTGTCAATTCCATTAGAATATTTAACACACACCTTCACACACCCTCACACACAGTGAGACAATTTCAGACCAACAAATAGATGATCTTCTTAATCAATAGAAACATAGTTCAATATGAACGTTATTTAGGTCACACTGTATAACAAGCGTTAAATTGTCCAAAACAAAAAAGACAATCAAGCAACTAGTTATACCGAAAAAAAAAGAAAATTTAAGTGTCTCTGGCTTAGTTGTGCATATAATAGACCAATGCCAGAATAGGAGGCTTTGGATATGTCTGCGGAGTAGAGACACATCAGGTGCACCTCACTCTTTTATCTGTCCTTGATCTCTAAATACAGATCAGATAATGGAAAGGTTTTCTTCATTTACATGTTTTACACATTTGAACATCGGAATTATTAAGCGAGCCCCGTAATATATTTTGGGTATCCATTTTTTTGTAATTTTCCTATTTTTCGACGGTTTTAAAATTTAGGAAGTAATTTTTGCATCTTTTATTAGCGGTGGGATTTAATATTTGCATTTATATTTTCTAAGGTTAAATAATGCATTAATTTTAAATATTGGTTTTGGTTTTTTTTTAGGGGGGAAGGGGGTAGTTCAGCACATTTTTGTAGGGTATTTCTTCAAACGGGTCTTACGTATGGTGTGTGAAGTGTATGTACCTTTCGTCAAAATGGAAGAAAGCTCTACTGTGACCTATGTGTATTACTAAATTGGTTAACTGTGTGTACGACGAATCTGGTCTGGTTACCATTCAGCTATAACTTATTTTAACTACCCTTTGTTATTCTTTCTTTTAATCATTGTCAACATTATCAAACTGATTATGCGTTAAAGATGGCTGTATAGACGTTAACTACATGTCTGACCTATGCACCATTCTTTTTTTAAAATTCTATATTGAAAATGAAATAATATAATCATGGTAAATGATGTTCTAAAAAAAGGAGATACCGACGGACACATACATGGAAGGAACACTTACCCAAATCATCATCATCATCATCATCATCATCATCATCATCATCATCATCATCATCATCATCTATGTATCACCACTACCACCACTACAACCACTACCACCACCACCACCACCATCGTCGTCGTGTCAAGGGATATTCCGTTGTTTTTGTTTTATTCACATATGTTTTTTGACTTATCCTTCTTTGGTCTATTCCGTAAAATTTTACTATTACTGGGTTCATTTGTTTGTCGATAAAACGGTGGATGTGTACAACCTTCTGCATTTACGATCACAATATTTCTTTAATCAATTTAATGGATTTTGTATCTTGTGTCTTATCAAATATCTATACAAACTAAATAATGTAGACTTATATACTTATACTTATGCTTTTACTGAAGAGACATAGTTTGTCGACATGTGCATCTTGTGATGTATAATTGGAGTTCTACATTGTTCTTAAACTAATATAATTGCAACATGCTAAGTATGTATAGTAAATGAAGCTAAAGCCAACAGGGCAAGCGCCGAAAAGTCAAAAAAAAAAACCCGGTGCGCCGGAATGATAAGAAGTTTCGCAAGTGACACCTTAAAATTGACTATGAGCTACACATGTTTATTTTACTATTATGCTTTAAAATTTAGGAACTGCTTTATCATTGATATCAACTATCAAATCGTTGTCAATTTTTATTTTTATTGTTCAGACATAACTTGTTATTTCCCAGGGTTCACAGTAATTGTCTCTCTGATTTTCTAGGCTTTGTTGTCGTGTTTCAAGAACCTCCGTTTGCATTCGTAAAATGTTTGGTAACATCCTCGTCTTTCCACCATTTTCAACACAAATTGATCTTGGCCTTCCCGCACGTAATCGTGCTTTGACTTTGAAAACGAGTTCGATCAACCAAATCATTAGTGTTGCAAAACTGACGAATATACAATAAAAGAACACTGATCTTGGATGCGCTCCGTCCTAAATATAAGAAATACATTGATAAAATGTGAACGAAAACTTTTATAAAATTCACCCATATCTTCTTTAATACATACTACTAAACATTAAATATAATTTGAATAAATAATTATTCCATGTCTTATCTTTTCTAAGTTTGGTGAATTTTGTAAAGATAGACTTGCTGCAACTCATTTAAAACCTTCTTTTCTATTGAGGAAGGTAAATAAGCTAAATATATTTACTGGAGGAGTGATGAGATGATTGAAGCTGTTAATTTTCTCCTTGGTAATATTTATGTACGTTTCGGCAATAAAGTTTATTGACAGGTTGTAGGTACTCCTATGGGCATCAATTGCGCTCCTTTATCTTGTACTGTTATGAATCACAGTTTATGGACAAACTCAGTAAAGACCTGTCTACTTTGCGTTTGATTTATAAATTCAACAAAATTTACCGTTATTTTGATGATATTTTTTCGTTAAATAATCAAGCATTTTCTAAATATACTGCTGAAATATACCCAAAGGAACTTACTTTAAATAAATCAAATGTAAACAGTAATAACGGTCCTTTTTTAGATTTATATATTTCAGTTTTACACGAGAAACTTTACACTAAAATTTACGACAAAAGGAACGAATTATCGTTCCTTATTGTTAATTTTCCTTTTTTGGACGGTGATGTTCCTTTGGCACCATCTTACGATGTTTATATATCACCACTCGTTCGCTATGCCCGTGTCAGTTGTGACGTTTTGGATTTCAATAGACGTAATCTATGTATTACTAGTAATTTATTTAGTCAGAGTTCGTTACAACAAATTACTTAGCATTTTTACTAAATTCTTCCATAGATATAAAGGTTTGGTTTTAAAGATAGAAAACGTATTTCAAACGGGATAGCACATCCTAATTTTTACGAGATGTTGTTTAAAGAGCCCGGAAATTTAGAAACGATTCGGGTAAACTTATCGATCCTTAAAAACCAAACTTATTCTAAAAGGTTACCAAATTAACACTGAAATTAGATCTTTGAATATTGTTTTTATTGGTATTAATATTGATTTTGTAATCAGTAAATTAAAATCAAACTAAATTATATGTCTATATACATATGCATATGCATGGCTCTACAATCTGTCGAACCGTATCTTGGCATTGCACAGGGTCAAGTATTTTCCTAACTCTTAATGAAGTCTTTACACTCAATCCATTGGATTTTGGATGTGTACTGATTGATATTTTAGTCTTAGATGCATGCTTTTTTTATTAGATGTTATTGGTTTTGAACTAGCTGTCGGTAACTGTGAATACTTTCAGATCTGTACGTAGTGTCTTTTTTGTTGTGGGGATGTATAAGTACCTTGCCATGTCCAATCTGTGTTTTTGTTACATGTATTTCTATTTGGATTCATCTGATGAGTTAAGCCTTTTTTCAACTGAATTTTAAAGTTTGTTCATGTGTTGTACTTTTACCCCATTTTACAAGGTTGGGGATGGTTGTCCCTTTGAAACTAGTTTAACCTCACCACATTATAAATGTGCCTGTCCTAAGTCAGGAGCCGATAATTGAGTGGTGGTTGTTGTTTGTTGCTTTTTATCATATTTGTGTTTCGTTAATTGTTTTGTATAGTGTGTTCGTGTATCGTGCTGTTGCACCACTGACTCAGATTAGGGGGACGGTTTGGCGCCATCTAACTAGTTTAACCCCGCCACATTCTGTCTGTGCCTGTCCGAAGCCTGTAATTCAGTGGTTGTCGTTTGTTACTGTGTAACATATTTGTTTTTCGTTCATTATTTTGTACATAAATTAGGCCGTTAGTTTTCTCGTTTGAATTGTTTAAAGTTTTGAAATTTAGGGGCCTTTTATAGCTTACTGTGTGGTATGGCCTTTGATCATTATTGAAGGTCGTACGGTGACCTATAGTTGTTAGTTGCTGTGTCATTTGGTCTTTTATGGAGAGTTGTCTCATTGGCAATTATACCACACCTTCTTATTTTTATATTATATTCATTTTAATCGAAATATACTTTGATTTCGTTTCATGATAGAAGGGACACAATGACTACCATCATAGTTTAAAAAAATGAATGGGCATCAACAAGAAAAATGATCTACAACATGTTACAGTGAATAAAAATGCAGATGCTTCGATGAGTTAGCAACTTAACAACAGAATATCCCGAAATATCTGTATAAGGCAACACATTATACAATATTTTAAGCTATAGATCGTCACGAGATCTACAATACATTGCCAAAAAAACACGAAACGATGAAAAGGAGCAGATATCACATGATATGCCCCATGCAAGTTTGGACAAGTTGGGACATGCAACGCGGTTATCTTATATATTGTTCACCTTCTTATCACAACCAACCTTAAAGGAACTTTGATAACAGTTGGTGAGATTTCTGCATTCCGGATAGAATGTTCACATGTATCGGATGATGCTATGTATGACTTATGAAATACCAAACTAAAATAACCATGATTGAACAGAAAAATATAGTTATTGGAGTTTTTAATCTTTGAAATTTTCTTTAACTGCATCTTTATTCGTAAAAGCAAGATGATCAAATAATTTTAGAATCATCAATTATTTAACTTGAAACGAGAATCTTCGTATCTTAAGAAATAATCACAACTTGACCTCATTTGATGCATAGTAAAAACTAGAAGGTGTTTTTTTGTGTGTCAATTACAGTTAATTTCACGTGATGTTACTAAATCTCTATATCCAACTTGCAACTTACTAATTAAATATGTAGTTAAGTGTGATTCAGCCAAAATAAACTCACGTTGTTCACTGTGTCATATATTTCTCTTTCATAAGTATAAACACACTCGCAATCGTCCTCGGTTTCATTGTGCTCAAGTTGTGAACCAGTACATCGGACTGAACATCTTTCCAGCTGATGCCAAGATGGACAATTGACTGCACATTCAGTCAATCCATAAGATCCAGCTAAATGCAGAAAAGACATAAAATATACATTTAGAATTAAACAAAACATGTAAAAAAAAAAAAGAAAGGTCACACCAAACCAAATTTCCGGATGTGTTCAACATTCTATAACAAACAACATTAATCATTGAAATTGATATTCTTAATTCATTGAGTTAAACAATTATTTCCGTGCTTAACACAAGTGTTACTGCAATTTAAGCACTCCTTTACCGTCTATATCTGAGGAAGGTATTTTTTGCAGGGCACGTTTAGCTGGTCAACCATAATCCAACACGGAAATGATATGAAATTTATGTACATGTATATATATATATATCATATTATCTAATTGTCGTCAAATTGACTACTAAAATGAATAACATTTTCAATTAAATGTGTAAATATCGAAATGTAGTTGACATTAACAAATGTTATTTCGAACATCTAGATGCAATTATGATAAAAAAAAAAACTATGCTCCTGTTACGCAGTCTTTTAGGGATTATTGAAGTTAATAATCAAACTATTAACTTAGTACGGATCAAAATTTTGAATAAAAGTGATAGCAAAACACCTGTTGTAAATATAAAAACTTATGTCAAAGTACAACAAATATTAATTTGGCGAATACTAAGTATATCAACATATTATATTTCATAGAAAAATGTATTAAATAAAAGCATTGGTCAGTTGGATTTGATTTATTCATTGCTAAAGATAATAACCTCCGTTGTATTTATCTTTACATTCTTTGAAGTTCACTTGATGACAATCAGGGCAGCACTTGGTCAGTTCTCGATCGATAAGATGTCTGAAATTAAAGGACAGACATTTTAATAGAAAATATGAAGCAAACGCACTGTAATTGACAATTCATTTCTTTTTTATTATATTTTATTTTAGCAATTAGCAAATTGTTGACCTTAATCTGTAATTGATTTTCTTTATGTACGCTATCATTCCTTCTATTTTTATTTATACAATCAGGTTATGTATCAATGAATCAATGAATATCGTTTTCAGTTGCCCCACGCGTACAAAAACAGACAATTTATTCATGTCATGATTTTAGTTTATAACTGTTATCACAAGTGCATGTACAGGCATCGACGAACACATAGTTTAACTTTTAAGATATGATTTCATTTGAAAGTTTTATTTCGATTAGTAAAAGATATATTATTGAATTAGTAGAAGGTAAGCCAATTTGAAAAAAAAACAAAAAAAAACGTGCATACATGTAAACCACTATTTCAAAGCACTGTTAATACTTTTAAAAACTCAGAACAACAGTTTAATTAAAGCATTATGACATGCATAATAGTTAATTAGAATGCAATTATGTTGATTAATAAAAAACGACTTACATGGTTGATTGCGTTGTCGGTTTGGCATAGGGCGATTCTGTTGTTTGTGAATTGCTATATACGAATGAAACTGTCAGAAATATAAAAAAAATCGTCCTGATACCACACCGTTTCATATTATTTTTATCATGTAAGAAAGATTGCACTGTAACTATCATAACAGAGTGTGGGCAATAAGTTCCTCTTAAACAAGGAAGTTTACGCATCCGGAATCCATTACGTTTTTTTTTTTCACTTTCTGTAAATCTTATTACATAATTAATTTTCAAATTGAAAACAAATTGCTTGTAAGAGTCCACCTTGAAAAGTTATTGCAAGGATTGTGTAATGTATAGTAAACATGAATCTATCAATACGCGAGGTTTTGGATTTAACGTGCTATTTTCAACCGTACTTTGCTACGTATTTTATACTACTCACACAGCCAAACTGATGCCCTTTTTCGATATGAATTTTCCTTTTTTTTCCTTTTATAGTTGATGTGTTTCCATCGGTTTTAGTTTGTTACCCGGGTTTGTTTTTGCTTAATCGAATTATGACTATTGAACAGCGGTATACTACTGTTGCTGGTATTTACTGCTGGACGGGAGATATGCAGGTCATCACATATATGTATACCAGTCAACACTTGCAGTGTCAAAACCTGATAACAAATAGAACACAACTGAGGCAAATTAAGCATATATTCACAACTTTATATACATATTCTAATAAATAAATAGCGCGTTGAGTAATTACGTTCGTAATAATGTTTCAAAATAAAAATGAATTAATATTGAATAGTCTTTTCTTTGGTCTTCTGTTTTTCCGTTTGGTTTTATCTTTTGGTCATAGTTTGTTTAACGCCCAAATGAAAAATATCTCATGCATATTTAGACAGAGAGCAAATCGATTAATTCTACTAATAACCATGATGTTTGGAGTAGTTCAATTGGATTAAATTTTAGGAAATGTTGACCTCAACTTGAAACAAAAAAGTTTGGGTAGATACACATATGTTTTTTTTTTAAATTGCGTGATCCAGAAAACATAGCAAGCATTATGCAAAGGCTGTATTATATACATGTTATTTGGCTCTTTCTGACCAAAGTGCATCAAACTTAAAAGTCCTATTCCTTTTTTATTTGCTGATTAATCATGCAATCCTGACTGATAAAAAAAAAGCCGGTAAAGTATAGCTGCTGTTTCCTAGTCCAGTTGCAGTTAAAGATACTTTTTAGTTAGAGTAAAGGTGGCTGATGGCCTAACGTATTTTTCCAAGAGCGAAAAAGAAGCAGTAATTAATATATATTTTCTAAAGATGAATATAACATGTACATATGCATTATTCTATGTTATATTGCATTGTTTTTCAATCGGTTATGAAAATAAGTTTATGGAATCAATAGTATGATTTACTCGTAACCTATCAATTTGTGTTGCAACGGCCCTAAACATTCAACGAAGTCTTTTGTTTAACTGCACTACTCGTAATCACCTAGACAATCATTTGGTAGAATAGCAAGTTCGTAAATGAGATAATCCATTTAATGCATCATACTCAGACGTTCTTGAGAAGCTGTGGTTTATGTGTATGTATCTTTTCTGTCGATCTGTTAAGTTTAATGTTTCACTCTTACTTTGTCTATCATTTCCCAGACAAAGCAAACTTCAGTATCAAACCAAATCATATACAACAAATGAAAAATTAAGATGACAATTCAATTTTCATGAATAAGTATTGCAACAAAGGGCTCTTGTGGGTTCCGCAATTTTTTTTACTGTGATTAGAGTTTCAATTTATTGTTGAAACATCTTTTACAAACGGCAAGATTAATAGAAATTTATGCAACCGTATTCAGTTTAAACAACAGAAGTAGAGGTACACACATAAACATAGGAGTAAAATAAATCGAATCATATATAGTCATGATGCGGTCAGATCAGTTACTGTCCTTTTAACGCGTACTTTGATAATCTGTGTTAAGCGGGTACAAACACCTAAGGGAGTTAACTCTTTATAAATCAACTGAACGTTTTAATCACATATTATTAGTAAAGAGAGATTAAGCTTCTTAATGATAAAAATAGTGTTTGTCAAACTGCTATATATCCAATGAAATTATTCCTATAAATTGTGTGGTTCAAATTTCTTGAATTTTTTCTATTTTTGTCAATATGTCAAAGTAAATATTTTAGTATTTTAGTCAAAGTATTGGATACCCCCTTAAGTTTCTATAGCATTAACCATGTGATGAAACCAATAGTGTGATACAAACTGCTAACTAATAAGGATATGTTTAAATCACAATGTTAAAGCAGAGATGAACACTTGAATAGAGATTGTTCGAATGAATACTTATTCCACCAATACTTCCTTAAATATTTTATCATCAATAAACGTTTTGCTATTTTGATAACACGAACACTTGTCACATTATTATATTGCTTCAATACTTCCTTGATTTGTTTATTATACTCTTTGACGTTTTGATATATTTGAAGTATTTCTTTTTTGACTTATTTGAGGACCTAGTATGAGTCATTGCCAATATTAGATGTTTAAACTCATTTTAATTGTTAATTCATTATTAAGGTTATGATAGAGATTTCCAATAAAATGACAAACGCACGTATCTCGACGTACGTACCAAACGGGAACGGTTATTTTTAACCTACGTATTTTGTTTAATATGTCGCTCATGTTTAAACAAAGTGTTCCAAGACTGTTAAAATTATGTACTGAAATTTTCGTCCATATCAAATAATTATAAAATGATGAAAAAAATAGAAATCATGCATTTCTTTTTAACACGGGGTTATCCAGATTCCCGCCTTAATTTTCACTGACATTAAATCACCTATGAACACACGTATCCCTTACCTATCATACGATCGATTTGAGTTATCTTTCATGGTTTTGATTATGAGTTTTTTTTTCAATACGCTTTGCAGATGAATGCTCCATTATTCTGTATTTAACATGCTTATTTTTTTCTTTATTCGATGTTCTTTCTTTTATTATCTATCTTTCTATTAATTTATATTTTTTGTGGGATAAGATTTTTGAAAAGGATATTTTTCTGGCAATTTCAGTAATGTCGAAATCAGTGTTTATTTCAGAATTTTTCTCATGATAAAAGTTGAAAATTGAGATACAACTATCGCTTCCATTTAATTTCTATACAAAAGTATTTTCCATTTATTAGAAATGAATAGATAAACAACTATATTGGTTGTATTTAAGCAGGTGTGCTCGATTAAGTATTGTTCTGTGTTGTTTTGTTTAACGTGAATGACAGTTTAACATGCTATAATTATAATGCCTAATTACAAAAGACATTTCCAGGCCCTACATTTTATCTCCCTTGCAGTACATTGATGTATAGTGTTTTATTCATTTTGTTGATGAACAGTTTATAAGTGGGTCACCGAATTTTTTTTACTGCATAAATCATTGAAGTGCATGTGTCATAAGAAAGAAACATAGAAAACTAAGATAATAAGCATTTTTGGATGCACAATGCAGTCAAAACGGCACAGTAGTGTATTCCTTTAAGGTATGTTTATTCCAAAGGCAGTGTAGGAGATAACGACTTTGTCCAACGCTAAAATATCAGTATATATCAGTGGGATGTTAGACCAGAAGTGTTCATTTCATATGTATACGTAGTTTAAATTTGCATATTCAGGGCGAAAAGATAAATATGAACCCTACGTTGTATTATACCGACACGCTGATCCAAATTTTGTAACGTGCTAGTTGACAAGGTAACAGTATGCAGGACGACATGTCAGCCTAACCGGATTCATTATTCTGACTCTGGATCGACCAATTTTTGCTCTGACTTTAAAAAATAGCGTGCTTAGCAGAGAGGCAGTCAATCTTTGATTAGAACGGGCACAGGATCGAACCCAAGACCTCCCGCACTCGAGCAGTGCCATAGCTTCAATTGAGGTAATGAGGCAACTTCCTCAGAAAGTTTTTGTTTATTTACACAATAGAAATATAGTGAAAATATATCAAATGTATTTCGAAGTAGAGAAGAGAGTGGAGACGTCTCTAAAAGTTGACCTCTTTTCCCTCTATCCTTTACACACTCATTACTCATTATTAACTTACAAAGTGATAATTCTAACTTTCTTCCAATAATATCGACACGGTAGATACAAATGTTTTGTTTATGGAACGGACAAAGTATACCTTGTAAAAAACTGATTCAAACAAGAGGTTATAACTGTGAAACAGACATGCTTGTTTTTTTAAATTACAACGAACTTGTTACTTTTGTTGGACTCAGTTTTGAAAAGACACTTATCATACCTATGGGACAAACTGTTCTCCTCTTCCCACTAACGTATACCTTGATTAAAATAGGCCAGACTTCATAGTTCTCCAAGTTATCACAATCCATCGATCTTGTCAAAACCCCCATAAATTACAACATCAAGTGGATCTTAACCTTTTATATCACTAAATCTGTACAAAAGCATTTAAGAGTAAGTCTGTTATTTTTGTTGACCAGGACATGTGCAATTGAATTCTGATAATTAAACGTTTGACCAGCAGTTTCGTTGCAGTGTATTGATTTAATGTGCACTGGAATATACTATTATTCCATGATTAAACTCCATAAATCCGGATTTTCTATAGACATGATATTTTTGCATGACAAATCAAGAATAACTATGGTCACGTAAACTCCCCCTCTAGGTTTTTTTTGGGGTGGTCTATTAGCGTTGCGGGATATACCAGTATGTACTCTTCAGAACCTTATCCAATAGTATAACCAATGCTCTTACGGTCGTCTGTTTGGCTTTACAGGATGTATAAATACACAGCCACGTGCAATCGGAATGGGGACGTTCAATCTGATGTAGGGAAAGTGCAATCATTAGCCCTAGACAAAATGTTTGACATTGTCGTTGAGGCTTTTCTTTTTCCAACTGCAGTTAAAATGCATCATGTTCCTTGTCAACACATCCTACATATCTATTTTTCTTGTCCTAAATATGCATGTAGTTGATGTCAATTGATGTCAGCCTACACCAATCAATCGATCAAACCTGCACTGCAGTCAATGTCGAGGCCTTGACTGCCAAGACTCAAATTGTTTGCCTCACTAGAAAAAAATTCAAGCTTCTTTACTGCTGAGGCGAGCTACCACAAGACCAACGAGGCTGTAATGGA